GAGCGTAGCTCCACATTGACTTGGTACTGAAGCAGGGTGTAGGCTGTGCACACACCCCGCTCTCCCATTAGGTCCTTGTCCACCTGTGAGCTCCGTCTCTTTATCTGCCTCCGCCTTGGCCGCTAATAAGGTCAATGAGGAAGAGTAAGAAGCAGATGGTTGTACAGTACATTACGGCACCGCTCAGTTTAGCGTGGGCTAGATAGCAGGCTGGTGATTCATGCTCGGTGAAATGTGTGATGATGTGAGGAGTTTCTACTGCAGTGCAAAGTCAGTGGACTGTGTGGCAAGATGTGCTGATCACTCAGCACTATGCCTCGTTTCATAATATTACCTCGGGGAGTAATTTGACCCATGAGAGGTCTGGACGAAAGAGGAAGTGGATGGGACGCAGGAAGACAGGAGGAGTGAGGTCCAGCATTAAGTGACTAACCTTACGTGTCGCAATAATGCTTTACTTGAGTCCTGAGTTCTCTGAAGAGTAGATTCCAAGAGGAAAATGGCTGAATAAAAAAAAAAAAACAGTAGAATCAACTGATACCAGGCGTTTCGGACTCAAATCAGACTCCAGTCATTGATTTTATTACTTTAGACATAACTTTCAAAATGCTCTGAATCTCATGACTTGACTTAGACTTTTACAACAATGACTGTCGACTGGGATATGACTTGAACCTGTTGATATTTAACCCATGATCTAAAGTTGAAGCAACCTGTTATTTAAAAAGCGTGCACCAGTAATTCATTTTAGTCATCAAACACGCACCGTCTCTGTCTATCCGCACCTCATTTATCCGAGCTGCAGTGCAACAAATCAAATTAACCGGATAATAAAAAAAAAAAATGAATCCAAATATGCCCTTGAGGAGTGAATTTTTTACAGGTACATAAACTTGAAAGTACTCGACACAAAACAAAATGCTACACGCAAAGCTGAAAGACTGATCATTTCCACTTCGATTGACATTTGAAGTTGCATGAAGGATGTACTTTTCTTTTCTAATGCTAAGGCCCACTTTAGTTAACTTTTTTTATTAGTAAATGATTGTTTATTACATGTTGAGATAAAATAACACATTTCAATTATTTACATTTGGAATATTATGCAACTTTTCCCAAAAAAAGTTTGAAATTTTAAGTTTCAGAGTTGGGACTACACAAGAGAGTTTCCTGTCTTTGAGACTTGATTCCGGACTTGAGGACAGAGATTTAAAACTCACTTGAGGCCTTGCAAAGCAATGACTTGGTCCAACCTCTGGTTAGAACCGACTCACCAGTATTACTTCCCTGATTATATTCTGGAGGGATTACTAAACCTGTAACCAAAGACAACAAGCAGCTGCTGTTTGGCGTTCCAAGCTATCATCTTCCAGCATCCATCTTGTCTGAGTATGCCGGTGAAGATTCTCAGTCTTCCAGGTCATAGTCATTCAAAAACAGAAAATTAAAAACAATCCACTGGACTTTGTTTGCAAGTTTGAAGACCTTTTGCTTCCCATCCAGAAGGCTTTTTTAATTCTAAATGACTTGAACTCAACGCTATTTCTGACATTTTGAATGGGAAAATTGTTGAGCAGAATCTTGTGAAGAAATTAAGACACTCATATAGGTGCTTCAAACATTACTTGTATTTAAATGAATGTATTTGAAGAGTGTGAATGAGAAATACCTTAGAGTTGGAGGCTATAAGTTGAAACCAGCTGCATTCTCTAAATACTTGTTTGGTTTGAGAACTTGGTTTATCACTTTGTTTGACTCTACCTGATCCATAATAGGTGGTTTCCAGTTACATATCTAATGCAGAACTCTGATGTAAAAAGGGCTTTAGAGTTTGGACAGCTTTTTGCTCTCTATAAGGGCCAAGGCATCTCAGGTGGTTTAAGTCAGCTAGCTAAAATGCATCTATGGAGTTAATTCTGTTCCATTGTTGGTGCAAGCAGAGGACATGTTTTTGTCAATTGGAATTTGAAAACAACAAAACAAAATAAAGCAATTCGGGAAAAAATTGTGCTTCATTCTAAATAAAGTTTTGCGAGTAACATTTTTTGTTTGTTTTTTTCCAATTTCATTGCTTTTAATACATTTTTTCAGTTGTATTTATTTTTCCAGATTTTCAGTTTTCTATGTTTTTATGTTTTTCAGATTGAGTTTGTCGAATTGCATTCTTTTCAAATTGTATTTTAAAGATCCCATAGTCTTCATTTCTGGGGTGAGGAGTGAAGATACCTTTTTATTGCTCTGCGTGGACGACAACATTGACCAATGAAAACAACATTTTCATTGGTCAAGACTGAGCATCTGTATTAAAGCGAACTGTGAAACACAATTTAAAAAGAATTTCATCTGCAAAAATCTCTCTGAATAACAGAAATAAAAAAAATCTATGAAGAAATAAAAAAACAAATAATAAGAAAAAATAAAATAGAAAATGATAATAATTTTATAATAATAATTTGCAGGAAGCAGCAAAGGAAAGACTTTTAACAACCAGTGACTTGAAAACAATAAAAAACCACTTAATCATCCCACGTTACCAGTGTTGAATGTTAGGAATCAGACATATCCATTAGTAATTTTATGATTTCCCACAAGTTCAGTAATCTTTCAGCTGCTGCTGAAACCTTTACTAGTAGAAGGCTGGAACTGATCTTTACCTTCAGTTAAACAGACTTCACTCATTCTCTCATTGTTAAAGTTTTGGTGGTGATCCAAAACCTCCTCAGGCAGCTTTGCGTGTTTTAAATAACTTAATATCAGCTTTCTTTTTTTAGCTTTTTCCTTTTATTTTCTCAGCCTAAGTCGTTGGTTCCTAAAGGTGGGGAGCCAGGTGACAAAGATGTAAATTTGATGTTGAACTATGGTCAAAATGGTTGAAGGTGAATCAACTATCATCCACTTCTAGCTCATTAACTAAATCTTAAAGGATGTCATTGAATAAAAGTTGGCTGAAATGTAATGATTGAAATGCTAACGTCTATGCTGTCTGTGGCGTGTTTAACACCAGTGATAATTCAACTACCTGGTAATGGTATGTTCCGATATAGACCTATCAGCTAAAAAACAAAAAAAAAAAAAAAACAAAAACCTTTCTAATCACAATGGCTTTAGAAAATAAGATTTTTATTTTTTAGGTCAAATGTACATAAATCAATTTTAATTCAGTATTAATTCAACACAAATCTACATGTAGATGATTTAAAAGATGGTTTGAATGACCATAATAGCAGTTATGGTTGGAAACCTCACATTGACTCAACTTATTATTATCCGACTGCTCTTGGTATAATATAGATGTCAGGCTTCAACATGGAGCCAATATTTCCGTCTAACCATATTTCAACATTGAATGGCTCATATTTTTCTATCTGGGGATATGACCCCCTACTTGGGATGTTGAATCAACATGTTTAAGGTGTTGAGATCCTGTTTATAAAAAGAAAAACTAACAGAATAACACATCAGAGGTGATAAAAACTATAATCAACTTAAAAAAAGATGAAATAAATGTAGCAAAATCACTAACTGTACCGCTTTACCAGAGATATTTAATCAACATATAGTTGTGAGGCTTCTGGGGTTTAATTCTTTAGATCCTTTTTTGTTGATTATGTTAAATAAAATCAACTCTCTTTTAAAGAAGTTGTGTTTTTATCATTCTTTAGAGCAAGAGTGTTTTTCCTTTCAGGGATGCAGAATTCAAATTGAGCTTTAAGGGTAAAAAAAACCATTACAATTTGTTTTTTAACCACCTCAATCATCAGTAGAGCAGACAGATCAGGTATGGGAAAAAACTTTAGATAAATAACGTATCATCTCAGCGGGAGGCAACCTCAGCAAGAAAAAAAGAAGTATTTTTGTGCTTTAAAAGAGCAGCCCATTTAACAAGCACACCCAGCAGCCCATCTGCCTGCACACGCTCACTATCCCACAGTCAGTAAAACGTTCAGGTCCTTGTCCGTCTGCAAGCATCTGGCAGCATTCCATTAACAAAGCCACCAGCCATCTCTCCCACCCTCACCCGCTGTCAGTCTCACAGACAAAAAAAAAATGCAGACACATAAACATCCAACAGTTCACCTGTTCTTGCCTCAGAGGAAAAGAAAAAGTTAGATCCTCTCATGAAACAGCTTTTATTGTTTCCCCAGAAGGCATGGCTTGTACGCCTCTGAAAATCACGCACAGTAGCAACACAGGAGGCGGGGTTGAATGCCTCGATGGCGTTTTTGTGTACCCACTCCGGGTAGCTGGAAAAAAGAGCAGCAGAACTTTCTCCCTTTAAAAGTGTGCACTTGTCTGCGCTAATTTCTAAAACTGGATGAGGCAGAAAGACAAGATTGAGGCCATCATTAGGAGTTCACAGCCTTCGCGTTCTTGTGTGAAGGTTTGTTTTGTTTTGCTGCAAGTGTGCGTGCGTGCGCTCCGCGTGCGTACGTCTCCGCTCTCCCACGCTTCAGCTTCCTAACGATGGCAAATGCTCCCGTGTGTTTGCGAGGCGTTGTTTCTCCAAAAAAAAAAAAAAAACAACAACACATCCAGGAACGGCTCGTTTTGTCAGGTTTTTTGGCGCAGGGAACGCGCTCTAATTAGGGAGGCCCCTCTGAAGGCGCATCAAACAGATCCGTCTCAAAGACCAACCTGATCCCAGCTTGCACACAGTACACACATGCCATATCTGATTATTGGGGAAATGTGTGTGTTATTTAACTATATAGGGGAGTATTAAGGGCCTTGTCAGTTTAGATTTGATGCTCGTCTGATCCTTATCTACAAGCGCCACAACCTGCATTCATGAGTACGAAAAAAAAAAAGTTTCTGCTATAGGTGTTGCTTAAAGTGTGAAAAGTTCATCACCGAAGCTCTTAGTGAATATAAATATAAACACACTAAGTGCCATGCTGTTACCTTCTTAGCAGGCTTTCCTGATCAGATAACTATTTCATTCACTGCATTCTGGTCTTTTTAGTTTAATCTTTTGCTGCTCCTCTCTTTTTTCCATACAGGTGACAGTGATGATGGTGGAATCAGCCTCTGAGACCATTCGAACAACACCGTCCAACCAAAACGGAGTCAGCAGCCTTAGCAGCCAATCAGACGGAGGGGGAGGCAGAGAAGGCGGGTCCAATGGAGACACCAATGGAGAGATCAGTCCGGTTGACTTACTGCACCTGCAGCAGCAACAGGTAGGGGTGTGTGTGGGTGTGTGTGTGTGTGTGTGCACGCCTACGGACTGTTTATGCTTTGCGCCCCTTTGTGTGCTTCTGTTCACTTAGGATGCATGCAACCGACAACATGTTGAGTGAAAGAGTTGCTTTACGACATCTGCAACTTGTGCAACATACTTATGTTCACTAAATTGTGCTGAACAGTTTGTACACAACAGGACTGGGCGTGTTTGTCATTCTCACATTGTGCAAAACCTTCAAACTTCAAAACATTTTTCTCTTTTTCATGGCTGTCTTATCAAACAATTACACAACCATTTTAAAGCATCTTTTTTACTGGGCTGCTTTTGTGTAAAAACTGTAAAGCAGAAATCTCTTCAACAGCTACTGTTGTAATATATTTTATTGTGGCTATTTATCTGTAGTTGGGTTTTAATTTTTCTATTAAATCTAAGCTCTTAAATAGGAACTGCTTGTTAAGGAATCATTCATTTTCTTATAGGTGTGTGAAGGCAGCTGAAAAAGGCATTATGGTCAGCTCAGATTTTTTTATTGTTTAGCAATCTTAGGTACACCCTTGTGTCTGTTTTTGATCTTATTCAGTGGGGTAGCAAACAAGGAGCTTGTGCATGCCATTTTATGTTTGTAGATCCTGCTGTCCTGCATTTAACCTTCTGTCTAAATGCTTTACTTTGTAAAATACTATGAAGTATTGGCCAGCATTGTCACAGAAAAGAGTAAAAATCTGTTCATTTCCTTTGACTTTTTGAACCAATCAAAATGTAGTTCTCTACCTTCGAAAGAAGCAACAATTCATGCAAACATTTTTTAAAAATAAATATTATAAATTTTAACCCAAAAAAAGGGAAACCTCGACTGACGAGCAACAGATGTGGGAGGGGGCCAATTTAATAGCTTTAAAGGCTTTAAACTGCAGGGATGGTATAGTTCAACATTTATCTGTAAAGAAAATAAAACAAAAATCTAACATTTTAAAAAAACTGTCATTAAAAAATGAGCATATGCCTAGAGCACGCCAAGCTCTGATGTAATGTACAGATGTGACAGGCTCTGGTTATCATAAATCTTGCCTTTGTGAGCAGTGAAAAGCTTTGACAGGTTTGTTCGTTGATGTTTTAATTGTCCTCCACTCATAATGTCTCGTCTAACTCCACTGGGACCCGGTTCACCATATAAAATGGTGCACATGAGGTTCCTGTTGATATATTATTGCCTGAAAACAGAAAAGAATGAAAGAAACTCTCTTAAAATCATCACCTGACTGACAAAACTCCAAAGACAAATCAGATGCATAAGGAGTTTGAACTGGTTTGTCATAGATGTGGGAGGCAGCTTTTTTAACCAAATTTCTTTTTTTTCCAATGATTCATGAAGTGGTGTTTGCTTGTGTTTGACACGTCAGCTTGAAACATCAGCGGTTAATGCTGTTTTTTTTTCTCTTGTGTGAACGGCCAACTCTTACACAAATATTCAGACTCACTTTGGCCATTGTGTCAAAACCTTTCCTGGAAACATCTTGGAACACATTTTTTCACTTGTTTTTTCTTCCTTCTTTAAAAATACAAATAACTTTCTGCTGACTGCTTTGCTGAAGGACCTGGGCCTTTACAAAAAGGTGTACACACCACACACGAAGCCCAAATGCTACATCTACAGAATTTTGAGCTGGAAAAATAATTGGCATTTGAAATATAACTGCAATAAAAATAATAATAAATAAATTATATTCTGAAATTGAAGATGCAATTGATTTTTGTTTGCTTTGTGTTTATGTAGAGTAAAGGGTGGATTAGACTTCTGAAAGCGCACACATCAAATGTTGCTTGGGTCTGGTCGCGATCTAGTTTTGCTGGTATGCTTCTACACCGTCTCTCTGGAATTTCTAGGGACGCACAGCAGTTTACGGCTAAAGCGCAATGGAGAGCTTATTCGAGAACTCGCGAGAACTTCAGCGGATTGTCACGAGAACTTTGTTTTGACAGAGACCTTGGCATCTATCTATAATTTGTCTGAGGCATTGTACAAGTGGTTGTACTTCCAAACCTCTTCGATTAACCTTTTGTCGTAGTTGTCCATCATAGTTGTTCCTTGGTTTTTAAAAATGGCGCGCTCCGGCACCGAATCACGAAGGACGACCACACAGACAGCCATACCAAGGATCAATCACAGCTGCTTTTTGTCTGCACACTTCCGTTTGAGGTCTGTGCGGGTTTGCAACTGTTTGACGCATTGCAGAACCTCTGCGTTTGGGCGGGGGCGTGGTCGCGCACAGAGACAGATTTGACAGTTGCAGGAGCTATGCGTCAGAAGCATAAATTGGCCTTAAGACACCATGTTTTGTATGTTTGTAATCACATGAAAATCGTGTGTTAGTGTTTTGCTTCAGCTAAAACCAGCCAAAGTGTGAAAGTACCTGTCCTGTATTTAGTGGAAAAGGAACGCACTTTGTCCCGTATTACTGTGGGAGTGAAAAAATAGTCTGTAAAAGCTAATGGAAAATGAAGAACAAGGGCATGTTAGATACAAAACTTCCGGTAAACTCATGCCCCGTCCACACGAAGTCGAACCCTGGCCTAAACGCACACATTTTTCACCAACCCAGCCTCTCATCCATACGAAGCCGGCGTTTCGGGGGTCTGTAAACGATCTTTTTTTTA